TATGTGTCAGGAGTATCGGAGCAGTTGAGACACATTTTTTCTAAACACCGGGTCTCTGTGGCTTTTAAACCCCAAAACACACTGCACCAAAAATTGGTCCATCCCAAGGATCAGAGTAACAGAGTAACATAGTGTACGCTGTTAAGTGCCAGGAGGATTGCCAGGATTTATACATCGGGGAAACCAAACAACCTCTGGCTACGAGGATGGCACAACAAAGAAGAGCCACCTCGTCAGGCCAGGACTCTGCAGTCTATTTACACCTACAGGCCAGTGGACACTCTTTCAATGATGAGGATGTACACATCCTGGACAGGGAGGAACGCTGGTTTGAGGACGGAGTCAAGGAGGCCGTTTATGTGAAAAGGGAAAGACCATCTCTGAATCGAGGAGGGGGCCTAAGGGTACATCTGTCACCATCTTACAATGCTGTGATTGCAGCCATTCCCCAACTCTCTGTGAATGGGACTCATGGCCACTGATCAATGGTTGTTGATCAGTGGTCATGAGAATTTGCATAATTAAGATCAAGGAACTAACTGTGAAGGTTCTCAGTCATCCAGGTCATCGTAGTCTAAGGAGCTTGGAAAGAAAAAGCATCTGCACTTCTTTAAGTTGCTTAAAGACATTTCACCTCTCATTTGAGAAGCTTCTTTCAGACCCAGCAACACACTCAGACCAAAACTGGTTCATCCTAAAGACAAAAACTCCTAAACAAAAACTTAACAATGTGGTGTATGCTGTACAGTGTAGCGAGGAATGCCCAGACCTCTACATTGGAGAGACCAAACAGCCACTTCACAAACGTATGGCACAACATAGAAGAGCCACCTCCACAGGACAAGACTCGGCTGTCCATCTGCATCTAAAGGACAAAGGTCACTCTTTCGAGGATGCCAATGTTCACATTTTGGACAGAGAAGACAGATGGTTTGAAAGAGGAATAAAATAAGCCATTTGTCCACTGTGAGCGACCATCCTTGAACAGAAGCGGTGGTTTACGACACCAACTGTCTGCCATCTATAATCCAGTTTTGTTTTTCCTTCCCAGACGCCTCAACGCCCACTCGCATCCTGGGCCATCTGACATGCGATTATTTAGAGGATCATTAGGGGTCCTTTGGCCCTCTCGGTGGGGTTACTCCCACAGGGTTTAAATCTGGGACTCTCCACCATTTGACGCTATAACTGAAGAAGCTTCTCAGATGAGAGGTGAAATGTCTTCAAGCAACTTAAAGAAGTCCAGATGCTTTTTCTTTCCA